CCTCTAGTTGCTAATGCTTCTTCCTCCCCCACTATCATGATCCCAATTCTACCTTACAAATCTGGCTAGACCAGAGGATGTACACTGGTACAGAAAGGAACTGGAAATACAGGGAATCCAGGGTGGATGATCCCTTCAGGAGTAGTGGTTTGAGTAGCGATACTGGGAGGGTGAAGGGAGGGTGGGTTGGAAAGGGGGAACTGATTACAAGGATCTACATGTGTCCTCCTCCCTGGGGGACTGACAACAGAAAAGTGGGTGAAGGAAGACATCAGACAGGGCAAGATATGACAAAAATAATTTATAAATTATCGAGTTCATGAGGGAGAGGAAAGCAGGAGGGAGGGGAAAAATGAGCTGATGCCAGGGGCTTGGGTGGAGAGCAAAGGTTTTGAGAATGATGAGGACAATGAATGTACAAATGTGCTTTGCACAATTGATGTATGTATGAATTGTGATGAGTTGTATGAGCCCCTAATAAAACTATATAAATAAATAAAAGCTTTTGGAGAGGAAATTAAATATTCTTGTTGCTCTGTAATGAGTAATTTTCTTTAAAATGTCTCAAATGCAGTAAGTTTTATTTTAGGAGTATAAGGTAAAAATGATAGGGTTGTGGAGGAAGGCACATGTGGAGATATCATTGTATACCTCTCGGTAACTTCTGAATGAGAAGTAGACAAAGCCTTTTTCTTTCACTCAGTATGAATGTTCTTTCATTGATTTATTTTAAAAGTATATCTAGTTTAAAATAAGATTATACTCCAAAGCAATGAAGTTCCTGCGGAATACCAAAAATAGACTTTCGGGCCAGGGCGGGGCACCCGATGAGCTTTGACTGGAAAACAGTCCTAATGGTCAACAAACTGGAACTATTTATAGGCTTTTCTATTTGTTGTTTTGTTTTTCTCTGTCTTTCTTATGTGCTTATTAGAAAACAACTGACCAACAGTTCCAGGGGGTCACAGCGGGGGTGGGGGTGGCGGAGGAAGTGGGTATTAACAAACCCAGGGACAAGGTAACAA